TCGGCTCCACAATCAACACTCTTGGTACCAGCAGTCAGGAAATCAAAAAACGTATTGTATTGGGAAAGTCTGCTGTTAATGACCTCTCTAAAGTACTCAAGAGCAACAGTGTCTCTCTGGAGACTAAGGTGCATCTGATACAGGCCATGGTTTTTGCAATCACTTGTTGTGCATCAGAGAGTTGGACAATGACTAGGGAGGACAGAAGGAGAATTGATGCCTTTGAGCTGTGGTGCTGGAGAAGAGTACCATCCGTATGTTTACATTCCCTAGACTTGAGTATTCTTATTTTATCTTTCCAGAATATAATCATTTGCATTTCTTTATACTATTTCATTAGCACAAACTTTCTGCCTTTGTTAATTCTGTCTTCTTATTATAATTTTACACATGTGATTCATTTTACTGCCCATGTTCTGATTTTTAAGTGAATAGTAAAAATTTCTTTTATACTTGCGTGCTATGCATCGCAGAGTTGGAGAGTGACTAGGGATGACAGAAAGAGAATTGATGGATCGATTCTATGATTGGGGTGGTAGGAGTAAGTGTGTTGGAGACGGTGAGGTTGGCACATGATAGAGCAGGGTTTAGGGCTCTTGTACATAGGGTCACTTTGAGTCGCAAGTGACTCGATGGCACATAACAAAGACAACAACAACAACTTTTAAGATCATCAAGATTTTTATTTCATTTTAAGTATAAATTTTACTATATGTTTCATGGATTTGGTATCAAATGTTCTCCTTTACTTTGCAAATAATTTTTGTTTCCTATGTGATACAATGACACTGATGTGTCAAATGTGTCAACGGTTGGCTACCCAATGCAGATAGAGAGTGGGGTGGAGCTCCCTGATTAAAACTTGCTTGGAAGGAGGAGTGGCATCCACTTCCATAATAGCTTGCCTCCGGAAATCCTATGAACCTGGAGAGAGGATGAAAGACCCCCAAGCGTCGAGGACTCGCCTTCAAAGGGTCGTTATCAGTCGCCTGTGATTCGATGGCACTTAACAACAACAACAACATTTGATACAAAGGTTATCTATAAGTGTGTTTCTAAATTTCCAAGAAGCTAAGAAGAATGTCTGGGCTTTTAAAAAATTATTTCTAACTTTATGTAATTATGACTAGATGACATAATTTATAATTATATTTCCAATTTGTTAAGGTGTGCTTTGTGGTCTCGGGCCTATTAAGTTCTGTAAAGTTTCTATAAATTTAAGAGAAAAAATTCCTATACAATCATTAAGTTTTCCCACTAATATTTATTTGTGTTTGTTTTACTTGTCATGTGCAAATGGATACCGTCTAAATCTCTCTTCTATAAAGTTTCTATAAACTTAAGAGGAAAAAATTCCTATACAATCATTTAAGTTTTCCCACTAATATTTATTTGTAAGTGTTCATTTTACTTCTCATGTGCAAATGGATACCATCTAAAGCTCTCTTCTATAAAGTTTCTATAAATTTAAGAGAAAAAAACCTTCCTATACAATCATTTTTTCCCACTAATATTTATTTGTGTTTGTTTTACTTCTCATGTGCAAATGGATACATACCATCCAAAGCTCTCAGAATGACAAGTATGAACACAGACACCCTACTGAGGGGAGGATAGTCAGTTGCTGCCTCCTCCCTGAGACAGGCAGGGATGGGACATCATACAAGAGTCAAGTTCAATCCCTGATTCCACCACTAGGGGTGAGTCTCAGTAGGTAATTGTCCATTCATTGATGAAGGTGTCCTAGGAGGTGGTGACCAGTGTGTTCATATATAGCTAGGCCAGGCTGCTGATGTGATGTAGCTGGAAAGTGACCCTGGTTTTTGGGTCATTCAGGTCCAGACTATACAAGTATGTCCATGTTGCCAGAGACAAAGTGCTGTTTGTCCGGGGACCAGGCAAAGCAGACAATTTTGGCATGATGGCTGTAGAAAATGTTGCTATAGGCTACAATGAAGACGACTATGACCACTTTGCTGACATCACACATCTCAAGGAAGGCCTCTCCTGGGAATAGGCCAGGTCCATCAGGCTTCAGGATGGCCTTCTGGACTGAGCAGTGCCACCACCTCAACATTGGTGTTGATGATGAAGCAATTCTTTTGATCCGTGAGCAGAACAATCTGCCCTGTGAACAAAACCACTGTGTGTTTGTCATTGTCCTCCCTCAACACCCACACTTCCCCTCTATTTCCCCAGCCAACAGTCATACAATTCGGTTGAATATCCAGCTTTACCACTCCTTGTCCTTAGTCCCACAGCATGAAGATGGTGTTACCTCATGATGTCATCTATGCTGCAGGTGATAAGCTAGTTGACCTCATCAGTGGTCATGTTGAACATCTGGTTCTTCTGGCTTTTAACAGTGAAGGAGCTGTACTCTCTGGTCTTCAAGTCTCAATAATTGATGTACCTGTCAAGGCTCCCAGAGTAGACCTAAGACTTGGCACTGTGCTGCACAGTCAGATACTGGATTGATTTGCTGTAACCCTTGATGACCCGCTAGGGTTTGCTGGTGTTTTTCTTTTCCAGGGAGTTGATGTACCCCCCAAAACAAGATTCTGAGCAGTTAAGTCCTTTTGCCACAAGCAGCAGAACTGCTGGTCCAGGATAGTGGAGCCCAGCGGGAATGTGCTGACAACCTAATTCACAGTGATATCTCAGAACTGGGATGTCTTGTCTCCAGAGGCAGAGTGGAAGTGAATGCTATCTGCATATATACATTATATAATAGCATATATTAGCTGTCATGAGCCGGCTACTGCCCAGGGGGCACACCTTTTCCCATCTTTCCATTATAGACATAGATCTGGCCATAAGTGCTGGCTGTGGCAAACCTGTTCTTGTTGGGACAGAATCTCACAAAATTGACAAAGTGGCTGTGGTCCCCAAAAGTGAACTTGAACTTGAAGGCTGCCCCTCAAAGAAGGCACCACAATTCTCGTCCCTACCCGTGGCCAGCCAGTATAACCTGGTCTGTTTGATTCCACATTATTGGTTACTTTGCTGTGTCCTATAATCTTACTCACAGAAGAACCACTGTCCTACAAGAAGGGGGCAACGAATTTCTCCCAACCCTTCCCTGACCACAGTGATCCTCTTGCTGTCCTAGGTCCACGTGATGTCCCTTATCTTCCCAGTGAGGCTGATACCTGTATACTTCAGAAGGTGCTGCTTCTGTGTGGTGTCCCAGTTTTTTTTTTTTAGCTTTTCAGGCACATCTCCAGAGGCAACACAGAATCCACTGGATGTGTACCTGGCCACCACTACCTGATGGGCGTACACTCCGTTTAGATCTATAGCAGGGTTGTCGATGTTCCTCAGGATGACACACTTTCCATTGGTATAAAGAAAAATGTTGCTCAAGGATTTTGGAGACTCTCTCCACTTGGGGAAGGTTGGTTAACACTTTATTGATCTCATATGGCATCCTTGCCCACTTGGTACCATGCTTGCCTAAAGCCCCAGACATTCAGCCCAGCCCTGCTGTAACTCAGAATGGCGAGGACCAAGCTCCCTAGTAATTTTTTTTAGTTTGCTGATTTCTGTTACTCAAATAAGCTTTGATCTTACTACTAAAATGCCTGCTATACCTGGTATTTCATAATGAGGGGGAAAGGGCCTAACTTACTTTTTCAATCAGAAAAAAACAACCCTCTCAAGACAGAACAGATAGTGAACAGGGAGGACAAAATCTAAAATTTTATCTTATCAAAAGCTATAACATAGCAAAAATCCAAGACTTCTTTTATATACTAAACATAAATGAATCTGCTAAATTTCTAAAATTTATAAATTTTGCTTCCTCCTTTATTAGAATAAATGCTTAACGACACAGTTTTTAAAAAAAACTATATTTTCATTAAGGTAACTATTTTGCAAAGAAATTTCACTTACTGTGGTTGGAAGATTGCTCTGTCGGGGCTTCTGAATTAAGATGTGAACTTGAAGCAGTATAAAGAACTCCCTTACGGTTATTCTCCCATCCTTGAGTTTCTAAGAAAAGCAAGTGTTTCCACAACCATTCAAGGTTAGCTCACTTTGACTATAGGCCCTTTTCAATAACTTAAAAGTACTTTGTATATCTTTATGCAAGTCTTATCCCAATATGTATAGACTATACATGAGTATATTTTACCTACTATGATTTCTTAAGGTCAGTTTATAGCAGCAGAATTGAGAAAAAATTTTCAGTTTTCTAAGCTACTTAACATTGTTAATTGCCATGTTGAACCTTCAACAAAGTAAAAGGAAACTAGTCTTTTGTATATTTGAAATATTTCATAAAGAAAAAAATTTACAAGACAACTAAGAAATAAACTGTATTAGAAATGTGAAATATTTTTCATATACCTCTCTCAAACTTTCTTCACAAATTGTATCCCTGAGGAACTGTGATTCCATTTGACTATTGCGGTGTGCTACAAAAGAAAGCAAAAGCAAGTGATGAACAATCCTAAACTGTAAACATAATTTTAGTTATTGTTCATATTTATGTGCAGTTTATGCTTCTGAAGTCACTCATCAGCATTTTCCTGGAAAGTCAGTAATCTAGCCAGACAAAATATATTCTAGTTTTGAAGTTCTAGTCAACATTTTTAATGGTTTTCTAAATATTAATCTTTGAGGGAGAGCTTTCTATTTGTCTGTAGTATACCTTTTCTCAATTTGTTAAAGTAGCTAAGAATTAAAAAGGTATATGGGATCAATCTGAAAAAAGTTAGAAAGATTAGATAGGGATCTTGGGGGAGAGTGAGTTTATGTTAATGGCAAAGGAGTAAGTCAGAAAAGGAGCGTGAGAATGGTTATATAACTCAATGAATGCAACCAATGTCACTGAATTGCATATGTAGAAATTGTTGAATTGATGTATGTTTTGCTATATGTATATATTTTTAAAAATTATAATGGACTATAAAAAGAAGAAATTATTTTACTTATCAACTATCTCTTGAGTTGAAACAAATTTATGATTGGTCAAGCAAGATGAGTGTCATTACTTAAGCTTTTATTGACATCTTACTGCTGAAGTCGAGAGAAGTCCCATCAGCCTTGATTGAATCCAAAGAGCTGCTGCAACTAGACGGGGTCCTGCTCAGGCTTTTCATCAACATACTGCTGACATTTTTATCAATATCCCCTTCAGGATGGCAATCACTTATCTAAAATTATTAGTGGAAGAATATCATAAAGATAAAATTACGGTACTATATGCTTTTAATTATTAAATGTTTGGTGATCACTAATAAAAAATTTATTTCTAAAATAAAATTTAGCTATAATTCAAAAGAAAAATAATAGTAAAAATTAAAATAAGTAACAGGAAACAGTATAAAAACAAAAATAATTATACTTAAAAATACAAAGAAATAATTTTATGGTATTCTTGGCAGAAAACGGACAAGAAACTAAATTACAGACATTAGTACTTTGATGTTCAGCTGACTGTAATTCCTCTGGCTAAAGTAAAACAGGATACACGATCCTGCTTTTTACCATTTTAAACTATTTGATTTCACAGACTTAAAAACCATTTTCATCATTTTCCTTATGTATTTTTTTCAAATACAACATATTCTAAATGCTAGAAAGCTCCAGCAGACCAGATTTTGGAGTCCTAGAACCTAAAAAGGTGTTCAGGACATGGAGGACACTCACTCAATATTTACTGAACAAATAGAAGAGTAATTTTAACAGACTCTATTAAATTTTGTATAATTCTTATTACATTCTCAAACCTTCATATTTTTCCATTGTTTCCTACTGATTGTATTTTATAGAACCACTACAAATATATTCTTATGACTTCATCTTAGAGAAGGGAGCCTTATGACTTAGTGGTAAGGAGTTGTGCTGTCAACTCAAAGGCAAGGGGTTCAAATCCACCATCTGCTCCACAGAAGACACATGGGCAATTTCCTCTCCTGTGATTTACTCTGTGAAAATCCACTGGGGAGTCAGTTCCAACTCAACAGTACATAATAAAAACATCTTAAGAGAACTACAGAAACCATTTTCTAACTTTGTATTTAACAGAGTTTAAATGTTGTTTTCTAGTTTCTAGGATTGTCTGCTTTCCAAACTTTATTTACCCTCTTATAAAATTCAGCTTGAATGACTGATTTAGTTAACTTTTGGAGAAACAAAGCATTTCTCAACTTCAAAAGAAAATCTATGACCTCTTTTACTAAACAAAATATTTCACTTGCTTCACAGTTAGATATTGGATGATATTCTCTCGCCCACTAAAGAAAACGCAAATTTTTCTTTATGAAGGTTTTATATTGGAAAAGAGTTTTACTTCCCTAATATAGCTAACACCAAAGATGACTTTTCAAACCACATATACTCTCTATGAAGATTCTCATATGAAAATCACTCATATAAATCAATGACAAATCACTAGAGGTGCTAGAACACTTAAAATTACAAAATAAGTTCATTTTTGTACTATATATAATTTTTCAGTATTTGTTAATTTTTAAGACTATTAATCAACTACTTACTGAAGGTTTTACGTATTTCTCTTGGTTTTTAATGGAAAATAATATCTGACTGAATTGAAATTATAAGTTAAGAACATTTCTTGGTTTACGACAGAGCTCACCTGCTGATCCTGATCTTTGTGATCACAAGGCCCAATCTCATTTTTTCTGACTTTTTTCTCATTTTGAGTATCATCCTCATCATCATCTTGTACCCAAGTTCTTTTTTGACTAGTACAGGGTTCTTCTGCTTGATTTTCAGATGGTAAAATCTCTTTTTGGTATGTCTCAATTAAAGTCTTTGCTTCAGTTTCTATGCTAATTGAGTCAGAAGAATTAATCTCAGGACACACAGGAAGATTTTCTTCATTTATATACTGAGATGGACTTAGATTTAGCTTAGTGGAAACAAACTCAATGCCTGAATCTTTGTTACAGATAGGACGAGTTTCTAAGTGATTTAAATCAGTGATGTTGGCAGAAATCTGCTCCAGGTCATCCATACCACTGACACTATAATGTCTCTTGTTTGGCAATCTGGGCAAAAAGATTCCCAAAGAACATTTTCTCACTTTATTTTTATCTTTTACAACTTTCATTGATGATTCAGAGTTGACTTCAGCTCCACTATGAGAATTCTTATTTTCTTCATTTCTATCAGCAGAAGCATTGCTGGATACTATGTCAGTATTACATTTGCCTGTGGCATGCACTATACTTATATTGGGTACTTTATTTGCTAAAACAGGTAACTGTTCTGGAGGTGGTTGTACATGACTTGGAAAATCTAAAATATCTTCAGTTTTCTCTTCCAAATGATTCAGATTTGGTTTGACATTACTATAACTTGGAGCATCAGATGCAATCCTACCATCTGATGGCTCTCTAGCATGAATATGAGTCAAGTGTAAGCTGCTGCAGAAATCTGTATCTTCACCACATTTAGCTGTTGGTATATTTTTCTTCAATTCCTTTTTATAGGCTATGGTAAACTCTCTCTCATTCTTCACATTTTCACATGCGGGAAGAGAGGTGATTCCTGGAACACTATTTAAATTCTCATGTCCAGTTTTAGAAAACATTATCTGCTCTTTATTGACAATATTTTCTCCTTCTCGAGGTAATGAAGATACAGTTGAAAAATGAGGCTGAGAAGCAACACAAACCTCAACAAAGGTCATTTTTAAGTTATTTTGTTCTGCATTATCAATAAAGTCTTCCATTTGATCATTTGAAAGCTTAAAATTAAATTTATTCATCTCCCTTAGATCTTGATTAGCTAAGAGATTGTGGGGTTCCTTAACTAAGTTCTCTTGATTTTGGGGCTGTGTTAGGACATAGTCTAATTGTTCTTTGTTACTGACTTGAGTAATTTTTCCCTTCTCTAACAAAGGACTTGAAGTAGAGATAGGCAATTCCTCACATTTCACATAATATTCACTTGTCAAATCACTTTGCCTAGTGCAATTACTAGCTTTCTCCTCCTCTTTATCACACAAGGTCATGATATTCTCCTCCATATTAACAACACAAATTACATTTGGTAAACAGGAATCACTGGATCCAGAAGTAACCATTCCATGACTACGTGTAAAGTCCACATTTCTTCTATTTAAGTGACAGTTTTCAGTTTGGTCTTTTCTCAATGTACAGTCCAAATCTATAACCTTCTTCAGGGCCTCTTCATTCACAGCAGTACTTTGGAATTTGGTGATTTTCACCTCACTTTGACCCCCAGGTAATACATTAGGTACAAAGGGTATCACATGACACTGTTTTTCAGTGAGAGGAATAGTTTTGTCTATGTCTAGTGCTTGTTTTTTAGTGACTTCTTGAACAGAACTATTATCTTTAGGAAAAGAAACACCCAAGTTTCTTTCTTTTGTTCTTTCAAATTGAGGGTATTTTGGTAGTGATTGCTCCACAGTTTGACAATCAGTAAAAACAGTGTGACACCTGGTGACTTCTAGATCATTATGATCATCTACAAACATTACAGTTTTGTCCACGGGCCTAGGAGGCATTTCATCTGTCGACACAATTTTATATTCCAAGGGACTTGTGTGACTTCTAGTGATTTCCATGTCATCCTGCCCACATGTATACAGAACAGTTTTAGAAGACTCTGCCTCTGGCATCAAGTGGGAGTCCTTTTGATCTTCTGGGACATTTTTATTATTTATTTCCACCATACAACCCTCAGTGATATCCATATCATTTTCATCACCCTCTAAAGTTAGAATAGTCTTATCATTCTTGAGACTAAGATTTTTCTTTCTCTGACTGTGACCTGATTGAGTTTCATTTAGAAATCCAGGTTTCTGTTTATCTTTGTCATCCTTCCAAGTCATAAGCTTAGACATCTCCATATTTTCATGGCCTATAAATGCTTCAGCTCTTTCTACAGGATCATTATTAGATCCTTCCACCTTTATAGTTAGGGGGCTGAATTTTGTTGCTGGATGACCATTTTCATCATCCTCTGGCAAGAAAATATTTTTCTCATCAGAAATAGACGTCACTTTTGGTATCTGTAGGCTGTTCACTTTGGGTAGCTCAAAGTCAGGTTTGACTGGCAGCACAGTTCCCTCATTTGCTTGGTAATCAGTGAAGATGGTGTGGGCCTTTGTCATATCTAGATCACTGACATCATCTACAAACATTACAGTCTTGTCCAAGGGCCTAGGACTTATTTTAGCTGGTGAAGCAGTTTTACAATCTAAGGGATTTGTGTGACTTCTAGTGATTTCCATGTCATCCTGCCCACATGTATACAGAACAGTTTTAGAGGTTCCTGAAATAAACATCGAATGAGAATCATCTTCACCTAATGAAGGTTTATGCTTTATCTCTAAGGTATAACTTTTGGTGATATCCATATCATTCTCATCACCGTCTGAAAAAACAATAGTCTTATCATTTTTTTGTCCACCAACACTTTTCCTTCCGAAAGTTTTGACATTTTGTACTTCATTCAGATATCCAGGTTGCTGTACAATTTTGTCCTCTCCTTCCATATTACTAGATGTAAAGAGTCCAGTTTTTTCTACAGGCTTTTTCTTACATTTTTCAACTTCTACAGATATCTGTTTGCTTACTGTTATTAGCTGACCATTAGTGTGTTCTAACTTAATTTTATTAAGTCCTTGAACTTCAGAAGGATCAAATCCAGTGACAGTATCATTTTTTGTTAAATCCATATTTTCTTCCTCCACTCCACAAACAGCCATCTTGTCATGAGAACAGTTAAGCGTAGAGCTGTCTAAACTTTTTCTCAGTGGTTCAGATAGGTTAGCATTCTCACCTGGTACTACAATATGGCTATTAACAACAGTATTAAGAAATACTTGTCTCTCTGATGAAAATGAAGGCTTTGTGGCAGAAAAAGGTTGTTCACCTGAAACCATATTTCTATTCATTTCCAATTCTACTTTTTTATCAAGATCTCTATTAGAGGTTATTTTATAGGTTTTTTCTATGTTCTGATTACAGTCAACCAAGAGAGGAAAATCTTTCTCAAGATAGCATGAAATATTTGAAACTTTATCTTTTTCTTTGCCCCAGGTGGTCGTTAAGATATTTTCAGATACCACATTTAGTTGTGATGAAGGTTCAATGTGGTTTTTATTCATTCTGTCACTTTCATCTGAGTTAAATCTACTAGCATCCTTGGGTGCTAAATTATTAGCTGCAAGGGGCACTTGACAGCCTAAGTTAACTGTGTGACATTTAGTCAAATCCATATCTTCATCTGTCTTTCTGTCAGTCAATGAAATAGAAAAAAAATTTCCTAGGCTATGTTGTAAACATTCCTTAGCTACGTCAGGAATGGAGCCATAATTTACATTAATATTTCCGTCCCCTGTGTGATTTTGAAGCATCATTTCTTTTTCAGACATTGGTGCAGCCTCTATCTGTACATTTATCTGATCATGTGTAAAAATGTTATTATCTATAGCAACTGTGTGACTTCTGGTAATATCCATACCATCATTTCCTGAATAAAATGTTTTTTCTGTGAGAAGAGAGATGGCATTTGAACTGGGACACATTTTAGAATTATTATCATCATGCTTTGGTAAACTTTTCCCCTCTAACATACTAGAAACACATCTGGTCAGTTCCATGGCATCACTGCAAGTAGAATAAAAAACTGTCTTGTGATCATCAATAGTCCAAGTGGAAGATGTCGATTCTGAGATCATAGCCAAATTTTTGACATTTTGGTCACAGGTCTGTGTGACTATGTGAGTTTCTGCTCCCATCTGACTTTTGATAATTTTATCTTCAGTGCTTAAGGTAGAGTCTTTAAATGCAGCATTCATTCTACTCCTAAGGACTTTCTTCTTTCCTAGAGCATTAGTTCCGTCAAGTGTTGTAGCATCCATACTGACATTCTGGTTTTGATTTTCGATCTTAGATAAATTATCTTCTGCTGAAGGTAAAATCTGTATGGTGTGGTTAAGAGTTAAGTCCATGCAATCATTGTCACAAATAGTAATACCATCACCTGTAGCTTCATTTATGGTAGCATCACTGGATACAGGAACGAAATTCTGAATATTGGCTGTATGACACTGAGTAAAATTCATCCCATCATCTTGTTCTCTAAAGATTCTTGTCCGATCACTGCCATTCTCCTCTTCATTAAGTGATACATGTACAGAAGAGGCATTAGTAGATTCTTTGGTACAAATAGGTGGTTCATAATTTTCTTTATTAGACTCTTCGAAAGGAGAAGTATAAGACTTGCCCATTTTCAATCTTTTTATGAAGTCATTGAAATCTACTTTCTTTTCTGAAGAATTATTTTGATCCATGGAAACATTTGATTCTTTCTTCATTCTTGCATCTTCAGTGTGGAGCTTTAAACTAGCCAGAAATGATGTGGTATCTATCTTGGTGGATTTTTCCTTTTTGGCACAATCTAAAAGGTCATTTTCAATTATTAAGGTGTGACTAGCTGTCAGGTCCATCTGATTTTCATCTGAATAGATGACTGTCTGGTCGTTTTGGTGTTCCCTTTCATGGCTGGGTTCTGTACTTGAAAACTATAATAAAAGCAAATAATAAGTGAACAAACAAACTTTTTAAAGGTATTATACAACATGTACAATAATATATATATATAAAATCTTCTGTGATAGTTTTATAAAACATTGTGTACAGTGTATAGAAAAGAATTTGTTATGAGTAATTTTCCTACCTTTTCTGAGTAATTTACTTTTGAAACTTCAAAAAGTTAGAAAATGCAAAAAACTAAAAAAAACTTTTTTAAAAAATAAAAAAGACTAGTAACACCAAATACAGTCATGCTGAAAAGTCTTTATAATTCTGTGTTTTTAGGAACTTGATTCTGTTTGAATCTTAATGCAATAGTTCTATTTTTAAGGAAATAGTCTAATTGGCTGATAACCAAAGTGTGATGTGTGGGCCAATGTACTAACATCACTCAGGATATTGTTAAGAACAGAATCTTAGAATCTACTCCAAATATACTAGATAAGAATGTACATTCTAATAAAATACTCTGGTGATTCGTATGCTCATTAAAGTTTGAGAAGTCTTAGTAAAAGTAATACATCTCTATGTTATCTAAACTATATTTAGTTAACAAGTAAGATAGGAAGTTTTCCATTCTATGCTTGTCTATTTTGGTAAGGTTTTTTCCTCCTAGTTATGCCATTATTATAAAATGTGTTATTTATTTTAAAAATAAGTTTTAATTGTAAAAAAGGTTACAATATGCACAAACACACACCTCGCTCTGTTGCATCTGAATCTGACTCTGAATTGGGGCACAAAGCAATGTATTCATCCCTATTGATAGAAAAAAATAATGTAGTAAATAAATGACTTAAACATTTTATGAAGTAAATGACTTAAACATTATATATTCCCAGATGCCCAGGTTGTTTTCCTTTAAATAGTTCATGTATTTACTAAGGTTTTACTAATTACCAAAATCACTAGCGAGCTCTAGAGGCGTGGGTCACATAGATCTGCGCTACTAAACCAAAAGCAGCACTTCTTTGGTGTTTCAAATCTACGAGCTGCTTCACAGGAGAAAGATGGGAAATCTCCTCCTATAAGATTTACAACCTTAGAAACTCAATAAAGCAATAGCTATGATTCAATTTTAACTCACTGGCAATAAGTTGAGTTTAAGTAAGTCTTAAAAACTTACATTACATTAGGGCTTTTAATGGTTATGCTGGTGTCAGAGTGATCTGTATGATTAAAATCCTTCTAGAATGAAGTAAAGGCATCTACAACCAGGAGAAGATAAAATAGATGAATGGGACCTTCTAAGAATCAAATCCCTATGGATATCCAAAAACTCCAACAGGGTAAAAAGGGAAGCCACAGACTGGGAAAAGTATTTGGTAATGACATGTCAGATAAAGGACTTATATCTAGAATTTATAAAATACTTGAGCACCACAATTAAGATAAAGGTAAATAATCCAATTGAAAAATGGGCAAAGGATATGAACAGACACTTTACCAGAGAAGACATGCAGATAGCCAACAAGCACATGAAGAAATGTTCAAATCTCTAGCTCTAAGACAGATGCAAATCAAAACAACTATGAAAAAAACAAACAAACAAAAAACCCCAAACAACTATGAGATATCATCTCACCCCAGTAAGATTGGCAAAATTTAACAGAACAGCAAGCAACAAATGCTGGCGAGGTTGTGGAGAAAATGAAACCCTTATTCACTGTTGGTGGGAGTGTAAAATGGTACAACCACTGTGGAAGACAGTGTGGCATTTTCTCAAAAAATTGCAAATAAAGATACCATTTGACCCAGCAATTCCACTACTGGGAATATACCCCAAAGAGACCATAACTGCCATGCGCACCCATGTTTATCATGGCTGTGTTCATAATAGCAAGGAGTTGGAAACAACCCAAGTGCCCATCAACAAACGAATGGATAGAGAAGCTGTAGTATATTCACAGAATGGAATACTACGCTGCATTGAAAACAAGGAACTCATACAATATTATTCAAACTGGATGACCCTGGAGGACATTATGCTGAGTGAAGTATCTCAGTCACAAAAGGACAAATACTTCATGGTGCCACTGTTGCTAAACAGGACTGACATCGGGGTTGGGGGGGAGGAAGAATGAGAAAGATGGGATAAAGAATGTATATTGCATTGAAACAGATGAGGGAGAAAATTGTTTAAAAGGGATATGTGATTAGGTATTATTTTCATGACAGGAGTCCAGCACGAACACAGCATAGTGGAGTGGACCTGTGGGGTGGGATTGTAAAACAATGGGGACACTTTCATTTTACTTTTCAAAGAGAAGAGTGTACTGCGGGGAGGGGTGGGCAGGGAGAAAAGTGCAACAATGAATGAATAGAAATTTATTTTATTTTATTTTTTTATTGTATTATTTTTACGTGTACCGTCAAATCAGATCTGACTGGTACCGGAGGAGATTGCCCCCTCCTTCTCCAGCAGAGCATCTGGTGGATTTGAACCGCGTACCTCTGGGATTGCAGTGAGAAATGTAAACAAACAAACAAAATGTAGTAAAGGCTTTAAAGAATAGAACTGGTAGAAATTTGGTGGTTCCCACTCACCCCCTTCCTCCTGGAAAGTAGGTGTTTGATGTTTAACAGTGTCAAGAAATATGACTGAAAAAGGCTAGATCCTGAAGGGTCTTTTATTCTATGCTCAAGAATTTAGACATTTCATGATTGCTGTTATTGTGTGCCATGTCAGAACCAACCCCTAGCTGACCCTCCAGTTGGTTTTCAGGGGCAATACATGGGAAAAGACTGTCTATCTTTCTCTTATGGAACAGCTGGTAGAATTGAACCATGTGTCTTTGGGGTTAGATCTAGAAGGCTTTCATAATTATTGTTGCTGTTGTTGTTGTTATGTGCCTAAACGCCGTTCTATCCTGTGCCAACCTAGCCACCTCAAATGCACTCATTCTCACCACTCTAGTCACAGAATTGATCCATCTCATCAAAAGTCTTCCTCTCCTGCGCTGCCAAACATGATGTCCCTCTCCAAGGACCAGTCCTTCCTTGCAACATGCCCGAAGTATGTCAGATGAAACTTCAGAATCCTTGACGCCAAGGAGCATTCCAGCTTCACCTTCTCTAGGACAAACCTGTTTGTTCTCCTAGCAGTCCATGGTATCTTCAACACTCTTCTCCAGCACCACAGCTCAAAGGCATCAATTCTCTTTCTATCATCCCTATTCACTGTTCACCTCTCAGATGCATAGCACGTAACTGTGAAGACTATAGCCTGGATTGGGTGCACCTTAGTCTCCAGCCTGATGTCGTTGCTCTTCAGTACTCTTGAGAGGTCCCTCACAGCCAACTTTCCCAGTGCAATTCGTCTCTTGATTTCCCAGCTGCTGTTACCAAGAGTGTTGACTGTGGAGCCAAGTAAACTAAAACTGTTAACTATCTAATCTCTTCACCATCCATACTGATTCTGCCAATTGGCCCAGTGGTGAGAATCTTTGTTGTTGTTGTTATTCAATTTTTGTTGTTGAGCTTCAATCCATACAGGAGGCTGCAGTCCTTGACTGTCTGCAGCAAGCGCTTCAGGTCCTCCTCAGTTTTAGCAAGCAGGGTTGTGTCATCTGCATAACGCAGGCTGTTGATGACTTTTCCATCAATACTGATGCCACATTCCTCCTTGGACAGCCCAGTGTCTTGGATGATCTGTTCTGCATACAGATGGAAAAGGTATGGAGACAGAATACATCCTTGATGGACCCCCTCTTGATTTTGAACAATGTAGTGTCTCCTTGCTCTGTTCTGATGACTGCCTCTTGGTCCAAGTATAGGTTTTATACTAACACAATCAAATGTTCTGGGATTCCCATTCTTTTTAGATATAGATTTTATAAAAACAATTTCAGAGGAGAAGAAAGAAATGCAAAAGAAGATAGTCAATGAGGAAACTATTGCAATAATTCAAAAAATGAAAGTTTATGAAAGGGCAACATACAATGAGAATAGAAATAAAAGATCATATTCAAGACACTTTAGAGTTGAAATGCAGAAGTATAGGTAACAAATTGAATATTAGAATTAAAAGATTAATATTTTTATGAAATAGGAAATAAATGTTAATTACATTTAAAGTTACATCTTTAGAACATTTTATTACAGACTTTACAGCAAATTGTGTAAAGGATAAAATAATTATGGGCTTTTTCTTGCCATGAGGCCACCAGAGTTCCCTAATTATGGGCTTTTTCTTAAAAGCCGAATTTATATCATACTTCTATTCATCAATTCAATAAAAATGTTAGATTATGCGCCAAAAACTGAACTAGCCACTACAGCACAAAAAGAACAAGACAAAAATTGCTGTCTTTAAGGAGCTCTTACATTAATAATACAGCAAAGAATAAACATCTAAAAAATAAACATCAACAATAGTTGAAGAATTAAAGGCCTGTTGTAGGAGTACAAAACAGAGTACTTAATTTTGGTAAGTAGCCAAATGCCTTAAGCACTATGTCACCAGACATCCTTTATCATGGACCAGAACACAAAATATTATAGAGAAATTTCCAAATCGTTGCTAAGGAGTCTAGGCTTTATGTTGTAAACAAAAGAGAAAAGTGACACTGAACAATTTTAGCTTGGAAAGCAGATTTAAGAACATGTATAATGGATTGGAAGTGTTAAGAGACCAACTAAAATAGACCAAGAAGGAATAAAGAGAATTTGACTGAGTCAGTGGCAGAAAAAAGAGAGATTAGGTATTAGATAGACCTCAAAGACTTTTACTTAGCAGGCAATATAGACCAAAGTAGGGCCATCAGATATGGGAAGTGAAGAAAAAGTTAAAAATTATTCCTTAATTCTTTTTATTTCATTTGTGCAAATGTGCATGTGAGAGTGCACATGGATATATATGCATGCTTGGAGTGAAAGTCTACAGACCAATTGGTTTTACAGTCAGTCATTCATACAGAGTTTATTTCAGAGCTTTAACTACCATCTTCATACTGTATTTGCAGTCTTTCCACTTCCATCCTGTCATTCTTGTTTCTATTCATCCTTCTAACCTTTCCTGTCTTCTGAGCTTTCCCTTTATGCAAATGTTGCCCTTCAGCTCTTTGACGAATGATTATTCTAAAAGTGAGTAACTCATTGATATTATTATTCACCTTATAAATATATCTAAAGTTTAACTGAAAGTTGAATCATAGATGTAATATTAGAGTCCCAGACTCTAAACTAGGAAAAATGTCTTAAGTATATGGGAGTATACTATAGGGAAAACAAGATCATCACCCATCAAACCTGTGAGAAATAATAATGAGTTCCTAAAGCTATAACTGAAAGAGTATGTAAAAAAATCCCTCCAAAACTCAAACACAAAACAAGCAAAAGTTTTGTCAAATGCTTTTTTAGAAAACACAGTTCTTTTACACAGTATTTACTAAGGGATTTGATTTGATAAAGGAAAAAGTATATGGTATAAAAAGTATTCTAGTCCAACTCAAAACTATAAAGATCTTCACAGTATTCTGAAAAATTTACAACCAGGAGAAGATAAAATAGATGAATGGGACCTTCTAAGAATCAAATCCCTATGCGCATCCAGAAACTTCTCTAACAGGGTAAAAAGGGAAGCCACAGACTGGGAAAAAGT